GGGAGCCCTCGGGGGCCAGGCTGAGGTGAGTCACCTCGGGCCCGGCACCCAGGAGGCTGGAGATGTCTGTGACGTGATCACAGGACAGAGTTGAGGGGCACGGAACGTGGAATTGTGGGCATAAGACACAGGCTGGAGAGGGGCCAGGCGCGCGTGGACAGCCAGGGCAGGAGGAGCCCGGTCCGCGCCACAGCCCAGGCCCAGCGTGGTGCCGGCAGACCAGGGAACAGAATACCCGTTTGTCTGTTGTGGAAAGAGGTCACGGGCGACGGAACTCCCAGAAAACGAACTTGGCCCAGCTTTGCACTAGCAGAAGACGGACGGGGAGGGTGAGAGCTGAGGGAAGCGGGCGTGGGAGGAGCGAGAGGAAAGCGCTTGGCAGTGTGGGGTTCAGGAGGCCTTGAGAATCGGGCCTGGTGGGATGGCTGGTGACGGGTCAGCCCACTGCGGGGTCCACTGGGAGCCTGGGGGACGCGGTTCTAGGGGTGCATCTACTCAAGGGGTGTCTGCACGAGGCTGCCCTGCCTTCCTTCCTCCTGTCATCTTTGTCCCTTCTGTCCTGGACACAGCCTGGCGATCAGAAGGAGAGGCCTGGGCTGTGGACCCCCGAGGAGGAGGCAAGAGACAGGAAAGCAAACGCCACTGAAAACTTCCTGGAGGTGTGGACCCCCGTGCTGGGGCTTGAAGGGGGACGAGGAGCTGTCCAGGGAAAGGGAGGAAGCTGATTTCCAGGTGGGAAGAAGGACAAGAGCAGGGACACCAAGAGTCAAAACCTAGTGCAGAGCCCTGAGCCTCCGTGTTGCTCTGTGAGGGGCCGTGTGTGCGCCAAGGAGACGGAACCCCTGCTGCTGGGGTGTCGGGAGGCCGGGGTGGGAGCGCAAGACACATGTCCCTTGAAGGACAGCTAAAGGCAGCAGCCCCAGATCTTGTGGTTAGAACCCTGGACCCCGGGGCCGCTCTGCCACTCATGCTCACGGTGTGACCTAGGGCAGGCACCTGGCTTTGCCCCTCAGAGCCTCGGCCGTGGTGATTTGTGGATTCGAGGCGGTCACATTAACACAGTGCCTGGCACCAAGGCAGCACCGAACAGGCTCTGGTTATGGTTACCATGGCGAGCCCAGCATTGGGAGGCTACATCTGGAAGAGCCGTTATGGAGCCGTGGCCATGGATGGCTCTGTGGGTTCCCGGGGAACCAGGCCCAGAGGCAGGAGCTCTAAGGAGGCAGACACCAGCTCAGGGTGAAGGACAGTCTCAGATGGGCGTGCTGGTCAGTAGTGGAGAGGCCCACGGGAGGCACAACCCTGTCAAGGGAACGGCCTCATGGGCACTGGACAGTGCCCTGGGGCAGCAGCACCTGCCCTGGGTTCCGTGAAGGGGTGGGGAGAGAGAAAGCCGTCTGCAGAGCAGTCCTCGTGGGAAGCCCGGGGCTAAGGGATTCCCTGCCTTAGACTTCTCAGGACCTCCATCACCTGGGAACACGGGCCGGAGACTCAGATGCTTCCGGACACCAGGCATTCACCCAGAAGGGCGATGTGCCGATGTGGTCGGACAGAGCAGGCCCAGCGGGAGGGGAGGTCTGCCCAGCTCCCGCTCTGCTCCCACTGATGATCCTTAGGCAACTCTGTTGGCCACAGTCATGGGTTGAATTGTGTCCCCCAAAAAGATATGCTGGACGTCCTAACCCGTGGCCTGTAAATATGACCTTCCTTGAAAACAGGGTCTGTGCAGATGTCGTCAAGTTAAAATGAGGTCACTGGGGTGGTCCCTCGTCTAATGATTGGTGTCCTTATAAGACGGGGGCCTTTGGATACAGAGAAAGACACCCACAGAAAGAAGATGGTGGAGGGAGAGATTGGAGCAACCCACCTTCTGGTCTGAGACAATACTTTCTGTTGTTTGAAGCCATGAGTTTGGGAACTTTGTCATGTTGTCCTAGGAAAGCAGCACAGCCCACAAATCCAAACAGGATTTGTCCGGAAGTCTCCAGAATGGGGAGAAAGGATGCAGGCCTGCCTAACTCCGAGATCGCAAGCCCCTTTTCTGAAAGAGCGATTCATTCACCGGCCGAGCTGGGGATCCAATGGGAGGCCCTAATTCTGATTCTCAGCCTTTGGATTTGCACCCACACAGGTACCGTCCATGGGGGACTTCTGGCCTTGCTGACGGGCTCCCGGGCTGCCCTTACCTGTGCTGTGAGCTGGATGGGCTGGGACAGGGTGAGCTGTGGGGTCCCAGGGGGCTGGCTGGCAGGCTGTGGTGGTGGCAGGTCGCCTCCCCCAGAGGAGGCTGGGGGCTGCGAGGTCGAGGAGGAGGCAGAGGAGGCGGAGGAAGAAGAGGAAGAGGAGGTGGAGGAGGCAGCGGCGGCAGCGGCAGCAGCATTGGACTGTTGCACGGCGGCGGCCAGGAGCTGGGCCTGCGCTTGCTGCAGGAGGAGCTGCTGCTGAGCTGGCATCAGCGCCGTGAGCTGCGGGCGGGCAGGCAGCACAGGCACAGGAGGGCATGGGGTGGAGCAGAGAAGGCAGAGAGAGGTTAGTACCCGAGCCAGACAGGTGAGGGGGCAAGTCTTCCGGGAGGCAGAGGAGGGCAAGAGGCAGGCGGCAGAGAGTGGCAGTGGCCCTGGAGGGACACCCAGGCCACAGTCCCGTAGCAGATGGAGGCGGCTGGCCTGTGCCCCTGGCCCGTCCTCCCCGAGTACTTACCCCGGCGAGCTGGCTGCCCGTCAGCATGAGCTGGGCCTGGGGCAGATGTGGCTGAGCCGGCTGGGGGGGCGGGGGTGCTGCTGGGGCTGAGTCACCACTGGGGTCTTCGGCCTTGATCTGGGGGGGAGAGAGGCAGGGTCCGGGACCCCAGAATGTTAAGTGGAGGCCAGAGAGAATGCCCACCTGCGAACCAAAGAGAGGGCACGAGTGTGGCAACAGCACCTCCAGCCGTCACAGGAGGAATGGACAGGGGTGAGGAGGCCAGACCCTGCCCTGACTGGCTGGGTGCTCAGGCCACCACCCTCTGGCATGTCTCCTCATCAGTCAGATGGGCTGCCACACCCCCTGCACCCACACTCCCCACAGAGGAGGGCACCTCTGAAGAGCACTTGTCCCCCCTTGGGAGCCAGTCCCTGTTTGTAAAATGAGAAATGATGCCAGGGGGCCCTGGGATCTCAAACGAGGGGGTCTGGGTCCCACAGCCCTCATCTGTTCAGACACAGATGCATCTCTCATTTGCCCATTGGAGTAAGATTTTATTGGAAGAAAGGGCCTAAGGGTAGTAAAAAATCAACCCATGGCTTTAGAACATGGGTCACAAATTCAAATGTAGACAGCACAAACGGGTGAGGTGGGCAGAGGATGATAGGCGGGCTGAAGGGACCCACAGGGCAGGTCTGCCCACCTCCTACTCTGCTCCTGCCAGCAGCAGATTTTAAAATCTAAAGCACAGCCCTAGACGGTGTGGCTCAGTGGATAGAGCGTTGGCCTGTGGACTGAAGGGTCCTGGGTCTGATCCCAGTAAAGGGCACATGCCCAGGTTGCAGGCTCAATACCTAATAGGGGGCGTGCAGGAGGCAGCCAATCAATGATTGTCTCTCATCATTGATGTTTCTGTCTCCCTCTCCCTCTCCCTTCCTCTCTAAAATCAATAAAAATATATTTTTAAAAAATAATAAAATCTAAAGCAAGAACGCTGCCGGACAAGGAAAACACACCTGCAGCCCGAGGTGGCCCAGGCGCTGCCAGCTGGCAGCCTGCACGCCCAGGGCCCCTCAGCTCCTCCTTTCTCCGTAGGATGTGGAGGCACCTTGCACCAAAAGTATAGGGCAGCCCTGGCCGGCTGCTCAGTGGTTAGAGCGTCAGCCTGCTCACCGAAGGGTCTTGGGTTTGATTCCCAGTCAAGGGCATGTACCTGGGTTGCAGGTTCGATACCCAGCCCCAGTTGGGGTGCCTGAGGGAGGCAACCAATTGATGTGTCTCTCTTACATTGATGTTTCTCTCTCCACCCCCCCCCCGCCCCTCCCTACCACTCTCTCTAAAAATCAATGGAAAATGTGTCCTCGGGTGAGGATTAACGACAAAAAACCATGTAGGGCAGACCAGCATACAGCGGTCCTGGCCGCTTCCTCTCCTACACAAACACCCAGACGACGGTGGGTTCACCTGGGGTGGGAGGTGGGGGAGGGTCTGTTGGTAAAGGACACATGGGGGTGGGAGGAGGCCCAGCTTGATGAATCACACACTCTCCGGCCCAGAGGGGGCATTCAGGAGCATCCTGCTGCCCAATGTCCCAGGAGAAAAAGGTCCGCAGGAAAGGGACACCACAGTTTGGCAGAGGCATGGCATCTGGAATGCAGACTGTGCCTGACAGACAGACAGAGACCCTCCTCCGGGTGGGCGGGCCGCCAAATAATAGAGGGTGAGTGGCGTGTCCCCAAGTACAAATGTCAGAAAGTTTTAGTGGTACAGGGCGCAGCACAAAACAACAGTGAGTATGACAGGCTGGGCCGTGGCTGAATCCCTGGCGGGAAGGAGGGCGCTCCTGGAAGTCTGGCCGTGTTTGCGTCTTGCTTTGGTGAAAAGCCAGGCGTACGTACACTGAGGATCCTGTGTGTGTCATATTTCAGTTAAAAAGCTTTGTCCTGACCAGTTTGGCTCAGTGGATAGAGCGTTGGCCTGCGGACTGAAAGGACCCAGGTTCGATTCTGGTCAAGGGCATATACCTTGGTTTGCGGGCACATCCCCAGTAGGAGGTGTGCAGGAGGCCGCTGATCGATGTTTCTCTCTCATCGATATTTCTAACTCTCTATCCCTCTCCCTTCCTCTCTATAAAAAAAAAAGTTTTAAAAACCCACACAGCATCGGTAGCCATGGCGAGAACACTAGTCCTCCTTCAGAGCTTTCATTCTTCCCGGCTCTTAAGAAAGTCTCCGTCAGGGGCTAGGACGGCTCCAACGCCTCCCAAAGTTGGCCAAGTCCCCGGCTCACCGAGGGCAGGCCTCAGGCTGAGGCCCTCAGACGCAGGCAAGCGTCTCTGGGTACATTTTAACAATCAGTGTATTTATTTCCATGGCAAGTGATTTTTGTTTTCCATTCATGAAATTTCCATTTTAAAAAATGTTTATTTCAGCGGTTGAAAGAGAAGCCGGTTCATGAGTCGGTGGCTGTCGAAGCTGCCTGACGGGTGCCTGGGAGGTTATTTTCATGATGTTCTTCTTTCTACTTTTGTATCAGCTTCACATTCCCCCAAATAAAATGTTTTTTAAAAAATCGAGCCAATTAACAAAGGTCTGATGTAAATAATTGTACCTGATGGGTGTGGATTTGTCTGAAATCGTGATGGGAGCGCGTGAAGCCTGCAGTTAGGACAAGACTGACGGGAGAGATGGAGGGGGAGGCAGAGGCCCAGGGCGGGCAGCCTTGAGCTTTCCCTGGGACCAGGGCGCAGGCCTGGGAAGGGGAGCGAGAACCCCTCCTACCCCCGGGCCCACTGGTTCCACCACAGAGAAACCGGGCTGCAATGGGGCAGGACGGGCTGCAAAGATTCAGCGGAGGAAGACGGGCGTGGAGGAGATGCACGCTCTGAAGGCGAAGGTCAGAGCCAAACCCAAGATCGGAGGGAGGGAGGGAGTTCCAGCCGGACACCTTCTCCCCTGGGCCCTGTCCAACTCGCTCGGGACAAGACACCTGCCCACCGAGCGTCCTCGGGGCACGCAGCTGTGGGGGGACCGCAGAGGCCACCTCATCTGACTGTCCACCCCCTCACCCCGTTAGAGAAGAGGAAACGGAGAAGCCCAGAGAGGGGAAGTGATTTTCCCACAGTCACAGAGCAGCCCCCAGCCCCTCACCATCCTTCTGCCACCTGCAGTCCTGCCCACGCCCCTGCCCGCTGTGCTGCCTTTGGGCCTCTGGACCTGCCAACTGCCCCACCCGGCTGGACGATAGAGACCTGGGCCCCAGACACCCCAGAAGGGCCCCATCTGGATTTGGGATTTGCTCTGTTTGCCCATTTCCAACCTCCTCACCGTCCTCTCCTACAGCATCTGATCTGTCCCCCAGCCATCCTCACTGGGTCTGCCTCTCCCTGATTTCCTCCACCCCACACCCCCTGAGTGTGTGTTGGGGGGCAGAGGGTGGGGTGAGGCAGGCCCCAGTTCGGTCAGGGAAGTTGGGATGGGGGCGGGCCCTCAGCTTCCTGTTGTTCATCGCCCTGGGGCTCTGGGGGGGATTTCCCTGGCCACCCCCACCCCCCAGGGAAGGGGAAGGAGCCGGGGTGAGTCACAGGCCTGGGGCGGGAGCCCGAGGGTGAGAAGGGGCGG